CTGGTTCACAAATTTAATTCATTCCTGAAGGCCATTCATAACCCAAAAACCAAAACTATTTTTCCAGTAGGAATCAATGTAGAGTAAAAAAGTCACAGTACAATAAAATTGGAAAAGAAAAGCACACCACAACGTGGCAGTCGACTCAGACATTATTCTGTTCAGGTTAACTCAGTTCGGCAATGTTGTTCAAGAAGCAAAATTTCGTTCGATAACCAAGGCATTTTAGTCTCAAATTTTCTGTTTGAAAACCGATTTGTTCGACGTGTGAGACATTCAAGAACCAAGGTTGCACTGTACTACAAAGATAAGGACAATAGTCTGAATGTAAATAGTGTAAATAATAAACTGACTCATGAATTGGTCAATAACATCCACAGTTGATCAAAGTGGAAAAGTCTAGTGCTAATTTCTATCCCCCCCCACAATCATTCTTTTTCCCCCATCAGACAATATAACAAAATTTAGGCTAATGCTTGGCACTAATAACATTTTTAAACCTTAATCTTTAATCATGACTGTTTTTTATTACTCCTCATTGAAGCAAACACTCTCTCCATATATTTAGGTCCATAACACCTGCTGCATTCAGCAGCTTGTAGGTTCTGTCATTTTAATGCGTTATGTAGGTATTTCAGTAATTTAAAAAATCTTATCTAAAACTGATATCCAACTTCAGTCTTAATACATACCAAAATATACAAATTGAATGGATAGAAAACATGAGCTGATATGTAATCGTTACAGGAGTACATGTTTCACTTCATTTCTCTTGTGGAACATTCGCTATATACCAATGGTTATGTGAGGCAAAGCTAGACACAAGAGTAATAAAAGAATTGCAGTCAATTCATTTACAATATGTGTGTGTGTGTGTATATATATATATATATATATATATATATATATAAAATATTTGTAGCAAAGGGTGTGTGCATATATATATATATATATATATATAAAATATTTGTAGCAAAGGGTAATAGCACCCAGTGAATCTGTAGATTCAGGTTATGTAGACTCAAAGTGTCAGTTTTGGTTGAAGTCTAGAAGTATTTAGAGTCTGCTACACTTTTCACTAAATTCCCATTGATTCAAGGTTAACAAGATTAATATGAAATTCCAATTTTAAGTAATAAGAAATCCTTTTTCCATGATGTTGTTTGGAGCATATATTTTATTTTGTTTCAGACCTGTTAGATTAATGGGTAAATTTAAATTTTCTGCATGTGCACACACACATTTTAAAATGATAGGAAAGAACAATGAGATTTATAATTCAGAGTTCTTAGCATTTATTTTTAAAAAACAGGGCTTGATACAACTGCAGAGCATAATATTATAATTGTTTTTTGTTAAATATATAATCATCGCAACACTGGAATTTCCAGGTTTCAAAACTGAAACTTCAATTCAAATTCAATCATAAAAATGAAACTTAAGATACAAAGTTCCATTCCATTATCAGAAATTTTAGAAATTGATCCACTTAATTTAAACGTCCAGACAAATTTGATATTTTTTATTTTAGGGGTGTTAGGATTTAACTTATTTCGAAAACTTATGTATCTAACATACTGTAGCTATCAAGTCAGTCAAGTCAAGGTAGGGGCTGGGGTATCTGTCTATTGATACAAACTTCCTTTTTTCAAGTAGAAATTTGTGGTAGTGTCTATGTTCCAACACATCTAGGTTTCAATAGCAATACATTTGGCATTTAATTTTTATTTTTATATAAATTTCAATTACGATTTTTTCAAAAGGGGCATTCAAATATCATTTTTAATATTTATATTTTAATTCATACTGACTTAAAATATTATATTTAATTTATTTACTAATTGAGTACATATATGTTAATGTTAAAATTAATATATTAGAATCTAATTATGTATTCATAAAATATTTTATTTATGATCAAATATAAATATGTTAGTTTCATTTTTTTTAAAATTAGCTATTGCTTAAGGAAAACATTTGGCAATGTCTACAAAAACTTGCTATTTCATTTCTTTGATTTAATAAATTTTTATTTTTCAGAAACTTATTAATATTTAATTTTTCATCTATGTACAAAGGACATGAGTCATTTAAAGATCTACAAGTTCTTGTTTTTTTTTTTATTATTTAATAATTTATTACTTTTTTTAATTAATTTCCATTTTACTGCTGGTGTTTTATTGGTTTCTTTTAAATGCCAGAAATATTTAGATAAGGATGTTTGGTTGCAGTATTTAGTATTATTGAAGGAACATTGGTGTTGGTTCCATGTGTAGTCTGGCTTACTTTGGGTTTTTGTTTTTGGTAACTAGTGTGACTAATGTAATTCCTCAATAATCATGTGTTGTTTTAAGAGTGGATAATCTGATTTATACTAAGTTAAAACTCAATCATTTTAATCTATTCTCCCACCTTACTGACCCACGAACCTTTTACTTTCAAACAGGTTGGCGGGGAGACTCTTTTCATATATATATATATATATATATATATATATATATGGTAATGTCGGCGACTATACTATACTAGCTACCCCACTCCAAGTATGTGGCGGCTTGTAAGCAAGCCAGTAGGACAAAAAATAAGACCTAACAAATGGCAGAACTCTCAATGAGTCAACAGTCAGCTAACTAGAGGTGGTGTCTCCATAAACCACTGTGGAGAAGACAACAGGAAACCACTCCGCTATTAATCCCCAGAAATATCATGGAAAATAACACACACACAATATGAAACCTAACAGTGTCATGGGGGTTAAGTCTATAGGAATTAACTCCCCACCTGATAAGATCTGACATGTGCAACAGGTTTTACCTGACTATCTTCCAGCAACTGCTAGCACAAACAGCGTAAAGTGGATCAAATTCTTTGGAACCAATCTCTAGCCCGGAAAGGAGCGACATGAGCAGCAGGTGTCACCAGACCATTATCCAGTGACTGCTCACATCTAACAAAAAATAACTCTTGGAACATGGAATGTTCGACATTAACTAGCCACAATTGTTAAATGTTCAAACAGGAGATGAGTAAGCTAAAAATCAATATCTTTGGTCACCTAGTTTCACATACACCTAACAATGGAGATTTTTTTCAGTGACAATCACTGGATTATTTATGCAGGTGAAGAGAAAAATGATAAAGGAGTAGGATTGATACGAGATCAAGAATTCAAGAAATGCATTCTGGGATACTACCAATTATCCGAAAGAATTCTGGTAAAGCTGAAAGAAAAACCTTTCAATATAGCTATCATAATAGTGTATGCATCAACAGCACAAAGTAAGGAAGAAGAAATCAAATCTTTCTACTCCATGATAGACAACATCAAGGCTCATTGCAAATCACAAGAAGTCATAATTATCATGGGAGACCTGAATGCAAAAGTAGGCAGGGAGAGGGCAGGGGTTATAGCTGGAAAATCTGAATGTGGAGGAAAATGGATCTAATAAGGCACAGCCAATGATCAGGTAATAGCCAACACATAGTTCCAAGAACATCAGAGACGATTATGGACATGGAGTAGCCCAGATGAGAAACTAAAAATCAAATTTACTACATAACTATTAACAAACGATTCAGGAATGCAATGGTTCACTGCAAAACCTACCCAAGTGCCAACTGGAGAAGTGACCATCACCCTGTTATATGTGAAGAGTGAAACTATGGAAACTGAAGAAGCCTAATGTAGCACCCAAATTGCAATACAACTTCTGAACAACCTGTACCTGAAAGAAAAATATATGGACAGTGTCAAAAGATATGAGGAACAAAATGGAAATGGAAACTTGAAATGGGACATATTAAGAGGAGAAGCTTTAGTGACATCAGCAGACAATATCAAGGATGCTAAGGATAACAAGGACTGAACATGCAAGCAGCAATGAGGTTTTGGAGAGGATGTAAACAAGAAGGAAGCTTATACTTAACATTAGGAAGAGGTAGCTGAAATTTCTGAGACTAATGAGAAAGGAGGGCTTGGTGAATCTGATACTCACAGAGCAGATAGAGGGAAAGAGAGACAAGGGAAAGCAATGTGTGACATATACTTAGCGGGCTTAAGCAAGTGGATGGCAGAACAGGGTTTGAGAGAAGTAGCAAAAGAACAAAACATATTGAGAACCACAACAGATAAGGGGAAGTGGAGAGCCATGATCGCCTGCATCCTGAAGGGACACGGCACCTAAAAAAAGAATCAGATCAGAAGCTATAAGAAGAGGTCCATCATAATAAACTTAGTCACTGACAATATATAGAAAACATTTAAAAATCCAAAGAAAATTATTATACTTTAACAATTGAAATCACTAAAGGGATGATTACATACTGAAGTAATCCTTAGTGTTGGAGATAAAGGCAAGGATGTATTAACAGCAATGTACTTCTACTTTTATCTGCTTCAATGTTGAGACATGATTATCTCTTCAATGCTTTCTATTTAGAAAGCTTAATGGAGAGGGCCTGGATAAAAAGTCTCTTCTAGTTCTCTGAACACCATTTAGAGATTTTTATTAAAAAAAAAAAAAAAAATAAATAAATAAAAAAACCTTTCACAACTATCAAAATATAAAAATCTGCTCGTATTTGATATAGTTTATTATGCAATTTTCCACCTTATAGACAACAAAATCATTCATATTAGGAATGACATAACTTTAAGCCTTTCATCATTGATGGTACCACATGATCAAGTGATACTGCTTACATTGTTTAAGATGGGTTAACACACACTCATTACAACATCCTTTTTTTTCTATTTTCATTATGTTTCTTCTAATATTGGCGTCATCTTTGTTTGCCGGTAGGTGATTTGAATTTGTATAATTACGGTCCCATTTTAAGATTTCAGAAGCTTATCTTTTTCTCAGCTTTTATAAACTTGCAGATCAGTCATTGAATTTTAACTCACCGAAAGCATTTAATTACTCTGCATTCAAATACTCCACCACCAAAAAAGAAATTTTTTTTTCTTCTACAAGTGCATAATTATAAAGATAACTCACTTTGGCTAAGTCACAGGAATTTACAGCTGATGCAACTTCCATCTTTAATTTCTCAACATTGCAAAGACCCAATCTAGGAACAAGATCATCTCCCAAAACAACTGAACAGGTAAACTCCTGGCTGTAATCACTAGCTGAACGACTGAAAAAAAAAAAAACAAAAAAAAAAACAGAAAATATATTTTATGAAGAATGACCTTCAAATCATGAGAGAGTGATCTGAAGTTACCTTTTATTTTATGAACTTTTAGAATAATTTAATGACACATGAGAAAAAAAAAAATTAAACAAAAAACAAACAAAAATGATGAAAGGGAAAAAGGCTGAAAGTGAAGACTAATTATTTTTAATGAGTACATTTAAAATGGATTCCAATTCAGTAAATTTTCTGCAGGAGAGAAGAAAAATATTTCCCACATTTTGAAAGTCTGTCATTAAAAAAAAAAATTATCTGGATTTCTGAGACAAAGAATTATTCTACCCTGATTAGAATTGACGTCCTCATCTTGGGTTATTATATTCACATTTCAGATGCTGTACCCCATCCCAACTTTCTCCAGTGGCCTGTCATATTTGGTTTTCGGTATTGACATAGGTAAACTGTATACAACTCACACTGTCCCAAATTACACTCAGGTGGTGGAATTCTGACCAGGTAAAAAAAGGACAATAAGTTTAAGACTACAAAATTACCAAGACTCAGTCATCGTGAAATAAACAAAGAAAATATTTTAATATAGTTCAGTTGTTGGAAACTATTTAGCAATTAAGACAAGGTAAATATACAGTCATTTTGTTTTCATTTTAAATCACGATGGAAAATTCAATTCTAAAAGTTATTGTTGCTTTTATAGTTTAGAAAACAGTTTTAGTTTTATCATTCTCACTTAATTACTAAATTCTGTATTAAGGGGAGATAACTACACAAAAACCTGAAATCATTTGTAGTGCCATCGACTGCAGCAGGAACAACTAGGTTGTCATGATTCTTATGTTGTGCCATATCTGTTCATGGCTCTTCACAACTACCAGATTTTAATGTTTGTCTTTTTACCATCCCTCCTACTTCCTCTTCTGCCATCCATTTACATAGGTTTGTTATCTAAGTTAATCACTCTTTCTGTCTCTTTAACCTTCAAGATGTCCTGTGAGTATCAAATTCTTCACAGTTGCCATGAGGGAAAGTTAGTTCCATGTGTGAATTTCTTTCATTTGTAATTGAACCATAAAACTTAGATAACTGAAATAAATGGCTTAATTTTATATGAAATCTTGCTTATTGAACATTTTAACTTGCTCTGAACACAATAACTTGTCTTATGATAATGTTATTTGTTTCAAATGACAAAACTCCACAAGAAAAACTGTTTACAAATGGTAAAATGACAAGAAAAAATACATAAATATAAAATGGCCTTATGCATAAATCAAGGTTTTAAGATATTTCATACTCTTTTAAGTTATTAAAATATTTTAACACAGAATATCTAATAACTTTTATTTAGTTACTACCACAGAAAATGTGATACTTAAGGTTTAAAATGAATTTTTAAAAGTGAAAAATCTTTCTTTAGTTTTAATTTCAAGCTAATAGTTTAAATTTAATATTTTTAATAAGCAAAATAATTTGCTGTACATCAAAACTAATTTAAATTGACTGGAAGGAATTTTTTTTTTTTTGCTAAAATAGCTGATTAGTGCTATCTGTTTTTTTTCATCATCTTTTATCAACAATATAATTCTCTTTATTAAAAAATCTTCCAAAAATAAAAATATACTTTTCTAAAACTGAGGAATATTAGCTGGTTTAAAGTATAATTAACCTGATTTGAAATAAATATTATTTTAAGTTTAAGCTTGAAAATATCACAAAAATGCATTTTTTAACAACAGTGGCTGTTTATTTAAACTGTTGATACGCTTGACAAATTGATGTTTATCTAATGTTGTTCCATGGAGACTAGCCATCAAAAATACTTGAATATAACAATCTCAGTAATCTTAAAAATTTAAGAGAATATTCTCCATAATCTAGTGTTTTATTAAATTTTAGATACTTTGACTTTAAATTTACTATAGCTATCACTCTTATTTTCTGATAATGTTGTGTGACTGTATGTACAAAAATCAACACATTAAAACACATTCTTTTAAAAATATTAGTGTCTGATAAATTGTACTAAGCTTTTCTATTTTCTAAAATATAGTTTTCACTTGATATCATCCAAAAGGGTTAAAATTAATACAGTATTTTAAAAGATTTAAAACTCAATTATTATAATTAAAAAAAAAAAAAAAAAAAAAAAAAATATGAAACAATTCTTGTAAAAATTCATTATTCATCGAAAATGTTTTTCTTAAGACAATAGTGTCCTTAATATATCTTATTTATAAAAGTAATTAAAAGCTTTTCTAATTAAATAATGTCATAGTTTTATTGCATTTTTTATTTTATGATTTGGAGCAGATTTTTAGTAATTGGTGTCTATTTGACAAAAATTGAGGATTTAAAATCTTCCAAGAGTCCTGTTTTAATTAATTATGAAAAGAGTAGAATTTTAATATTAATGTTCACCCAATCCAAGGCTAAAGTGACACTCCGGATAGAAGGTTATTGAATGATGTGTGTGATATGAATCTAAGAGGTGGTAGATTGAAGTGAAGAATGTAAGGCTAAGTGTAGGATAGATAACGATTGACTCTTGACTTGAAGAGATTAAGATTATAGTGTTCAGGAAAACATCCACAAAGTAACATCTCTCTTAGCTGCCTGATTGAAACTTCCTTCTTACAAATGTTATACAAAAAGGAAATATGAGGAAGATCTAGCATGGCAAGTTCTAGCTGTAAAAGTCTGATGTTTTCTGGAGTACAAAGCATTTTAAAGGAACTGTACTGTTAATTATAGCAAAGTTTTCATAAAAGAGTAATTTTTAAATCTAGTGCCAATTTACTTATGTCTCTACAAAAGATATTTATAATTCTTAGTTTCTGTTTGCTGCAACACTTTTATAAAATATTTTTAAATAACTCTGTAAAAATACGAATAAAAAAATGAAAAATATGCAGATAGATATTTAAGAAAGGGATTATTTAACTGACCAGAGCAGACCACCAGGAGGTGCATAGGCAAAACAATGGACATCATTGTATTTCTCTTTCAACAAAATGGACAATATTGCTGCTGTTCCTGCACCAAGGCTGTGTCCAGTGACAACAATTCTGGTTCCCTGAAGAAAAGAAACAAATAAATACATTTGCATACAAGTGCTTTCATCTCTTTCTTTTATTAATGCTTAGATCTAAAGAGAGGGTAAATTTAACACAGACTGGACATTTATACACTGAAAATTCCAAATCAAAATTCAACAGGCTACAAACATATTGATACATCCTCAATAATGCATCAATAAATCTTACTGATACATCTTCCAGAATTAAAATTAAAAAATTAAATTCAATCAAGTGAACTTTGCCTTACTGCCAGTTACATGATATTTATGCTTGGTCTCCACAGATATGCAGGAAATGAAAGGATCATAGAGTCAGTGACATTGCCCTTGTGTTTGCCATCCCATCAATTCATACAAAATACAACATATTGCACAGCAATTTCCTCATATATATATATATATATATATATATATATATATATATATATAAATAATCGACTCTCCCGTCGCCTGTCGGCGTATGAGATGTCAGGCCGATAAGTCCCCAGGAAACCAACATCCCGACACGGCACATGAGATTTGTTTATAGTGGTGAAGGCCTTGTGCAGGACCAGCCACACTTTTGGAGGACGAATACAGAAACCTGGTGCACCAATGCATGCCACAAGGTTCCCAAACGACCCTCCATTGGTTTTGAATTCAGAGTTGTCCTTCTCCTAGACCAGTTGCCATCCAAGGCTATAGAACCAAGTCTGTCCTGCTATTTTACCCATATATATATATATATATATATATATATATATATATATATGGCATGGTGGGGAGTAATGGATAGCTGTATGGACTTGAAGAGCCAAGTTCAAATTCCAGTCGAATTCATTACATTCACTTACTTGCTAATAACCTTGCGAAAGGTATGAATCCTTTTTCTCCCTCCAGCTATGGGTAAATAGCAGGACAGACTGGGTTCTATAGCCTTGGATGGCATCTGGTCTAAGAGGACAACTCCGAATTCAAAACCTGTGGAGGGTCATTTGGGGACCTTGTAGCACATAGTGCACTAGGTCTCTGTATTCAGTCCTTCAAACAGTGTGGATGGTTCTGGACAAAACCTTCACTATAATCAAATCATGTGCTGGTGTCTGGCTGTCAGTTCCTAAGAACTAAGCTGCTTGACCCTCATACATCAAATACGACAGTAAAGTCAAAAATATATATATATATATTTATATATATATGTAAGCAAATATATGGATATAAATCCGACAGCATGAAAGAAAAATACAGAAAAGACCAAATTCTGAATATGCATTATTAATGTTAAAATAAAGTCGACGTCGGACGTTTCGGTCTATTTAAGACCATCTTCATGGACATTTTCATTTAAACATAATTAACATTATAACTTATAACAATTTAACACAAAAGACGATGGACATAAGAGCCCAACTAATTCAAACAGATATATATATATATATATATATATATATATATATATATATATATATATATATATATATATATATAAAATAAAATATTTTTAAGGTATGCTATATTTATGGGTTAAAGTGCTCAGTATCAGGGACAGATGTATGTAAACTTTTAAGTGGACAATATTGAAGTCAACACCCAGAAGCAACAATCTGTTTCATGCTAAATGCAGTCATCATGACCGAGGATTGAATTTAGCATGAAACAGACTGTCACCCCTGGGTGTTGACTTCAATGTCCACTTTTATATTTATATAACTATTAACAGGCCCAAAAGATAAAAAAAATAGAGCAATACATACTATCAAATGAACTGTCAAGAAAAATAACCAAAATTTACATGATAACAACCAATATGTCTCTTACACACACACACAGCAATGCTGCAGCATGAACAGAACACACCTTGGGTCTGTTCACAGGTTTCCCATTGTCAACAATGAAAAAAACAGCCCTGAATACATCACTGGGTAATATTTATTGTTCTGCCAAAATAAAAATCACCTAAATACATACGCCATAGTTTAAGTTACTTGAAATCAGAAAGGTCCTTGAACTGTGAGTAGTGTCCCGACATTAAAACTGCTTTTATTTCAAGCTTATACAGCAGCCTTCCAAAAGTGCTCCTCTTTAGCTACACTATCGGATGGAAGTAACAGAATGAATGAAGACCTTTAATTCCTTAAAAATTACTTTGTTTTGGACATGAAAATAAACATAACAGATATGGCCTTCAAAAGGTCACATTGAGAGAGATGTGCATTTTGTCAGAAGAGTAACTGAACTATACCTTGCCATATATATACACACAGACATGTTATTGGTCTTGACCTGGTATTTTGGCTTCAGCCACTTTCCCACTGCCATAATGTAGCTTCCTTGTTTCTTTTCTATAAATACTTTCATGTTAATTGTTCTGATGAATATTCCTCTATGATACCTAGACTTTATGAATTTAATCACAGCACTAAATCAGCAGCAAAATCTCATAATTTTATAGTTGAAAAGGCTAGATGTAACCCTAAGTTCTATGCTAACAGGTTTTCTTTCACACTTCTTGCATGTGGAGCTTTTCTAGCTTCTTGCTTCCTAGTGAACTCTGATCTTCAAAAATTTAAATGCAATGTCAACCATTATCTTCCGTCTTTTTAATTCTTGTTCTTTTACTGTCCTCTCTCCTTAATAGTATTTTTTTCTCATATTCTCTAACACTCAGTCATCCCTTGTGTCTTAATGGCTTTAATGCCTTGCTCGGGGTGAAACAATTATAAAAAAAATATATATATATATATATATATATATATATATATATATATATTTTCAATTGTGTAATATTTATTCTTTTCATTATCCTCATCACATAACCAAATGTTGCAGTAACTGAACACCTGACCAGCTCACTCCACATGTCTCAGTAGGGATTCCTTCATGTGTAGTGTGTCTTGGCCAAAGTAGACTTAGAGTTAATTCTTCTCCAGGTCAGCAAATATTTAATGTCATAACTTGAAGACTTGCCTTGACCAAAGACATGTGTCCACTGATTTTTTTTTTCAGAGGAACCCTTCACCCTGAATGGAGAATTCAGATTTATGCTTTTAATTGATAAAAATTTACATATTAAAAAATTAGGTATTCAAGCAACCACACACTTTCCTCATATAGAAGGTTTATTGAATCTAAAGAAAACCATTACTTTATCAAGCATTTGCTACCAACCAAAATTCCTTCCACCTTTCTCTTGTCCCTGAAATTTTTTAATGATGATCAATTCCTTCTATGCAAACAAACACTGATGTTTCCCTGCAAAGCAAACCATAAGCATCTTTACCCTGGTTTTCTCAAAGCCTTTTTCTAGAAGTGACTGAACCTCAAGTTCATATCGGATGTAGCGAGCAGCTTGCAGGATGCCTTTGTGACATGTGAAGTCTGAACTTCCAGATTCATACATTTTTTCAGTTGCTGCTGTCAGATCAGTGAGAGCATCCTGGTCAAATAAAAAAGAGAAAAGAAAAGCAAGCCAGTTTAGTTTCATGAAAAGATACAGACAGGCAAAGCAGACGCAAAAGTTGAGGGGGGGAAAGACTAACAAGGGATGGGGGCAAACAGACTAACAAGGGATGGGGGGGGCAAACAGACTAACAAGGGATTTGGGTGGGGGATAAACAGAAAGATAAAAAGGAGAAAATAATTAAGATTCTCTTTTTGGCATTATAAGATAAGCTGAAAAGGTTTTGCCTGTATGCAATGTAGACACAGATCATATAATAAATTCACTATGCAAAATACAACATTGCAATAACCCTGTGTAAAATGATACTTAAAAATATAAATACAAGTTTCCCCCAAAATAAAATTGTCTCGTTTACATCAACTTAATAAACTGCATTTTGTTTTTCTTCTCTAGGCTCCAGTGAAATAGAAACTTAATACATTTGACCATCATTTGCAGTTTACTCAGAACTGCATCTTATTGAATTGCTACACTATATCCATCCAATGTTGCCCACAGAGCCCTGCCCAGGGTGTTATGGTTTCAAGATCAATAAGTTTGCATGAATTTTCAAGATTAGGGCAAACTAAAAGATGCTCCAGTGGTTGTAATTGCCTGCATCAACAGTTGGGATCATCATCAGTGGCATATCCCCATTTCTGAAGGTTGGCTCTACAGCAACCAACAGATGTTCGGAAGTGAAGGGTCAGTCAACTCAGAGCTAATATCTAAGGAATTATTAAAATAAGTCTTATTTTAATCAAGATGTAAATGATGTTTATAAAAACAAACAATCATTGCACATTATTTTAATTATGAAAAGGTAATTATTGTAAACTTGGAAGATTGTCCTCGCCAGAACAAAAATGTTAATGAAACTCAGAATAACTTTAGAAAATGTCTGCCATTAAATCTTTACTTGTTCTAATGTCAAAAATAAATTTACAAAAAAAATAAATAAATAAATAAAAAAAGGTAATTTTTTTATTATTAAACCAATAAAACCTGTTTAATAGAATTTTCCTTTTGACATTTCCATATATTGCAAAAGAACTCTGCTTTGTGTGTATATTTCCCTACAAACACAATTGATCAATTAAACTTAACATCAGGAAGGAACAATTGAAATTTCTGGGGCATATAATGAGGAAGGAGGACTTGGAAAATTTGATACTCAAAGGAGAGATTGGAGGTAAGAGGGTCAGAGAAAAACTACCTGGTGTGCTTGAGCAAATGGATAGTGGAGTAGGGTTCGGAAGAGATGACAATAAGACAAAAGTTATTAAGAGCTACAAAGGACAAGAAATTGTAGAGAGCCATGATTGCCAACATCCTGAAGGGACACAGCACATAGAAGAAAAAACAAATGCAGAATTGCAGATAAGAGTGAACCATCATCCAAGTTTTACAATGAAGGTATTTTCTTAATTTGCTTAAAAATACTGTTTGGGAGGAATTAGCAAACTAAAAATCTAAAGGTTTAAACCCAGTCTTTAATTTTATGCTGAGCAATAAAAGTCATTTCATTTAGAAAACAAAGTTCTCACCTGAAATGATAATGTGCCTCTGATGGATATCACCACTGCAGCATTTCTTGGGTCGACAGATACAAAAAAGGGAGTTTTGAAGATCTGAAAAGAAAAGAATATCAAAAGTGACAAAATCTGAGATAATAATTCACCCATAAGGCAATATTTTTTTACCTCTATCAAGGCTGGAAAGTGAGCTCCAGTCTGGATATGGCAACAGTACTCCAGTTTTTTGGTAAATCTATTTTTGCGACAGGTCTAGCTGTTTTTACTTTAACAAGACGCCTGCTGACTGATATTGCTACAAATGTTACTAGCTTGGTTTTAAAAGTGTTGAAGAGGATAACTCGGCCCCCATCTCCCACCATCCCCTCAATGAGTTGTTAGGTCAGTGGAGAAATCAGCAGTCTGGCTCTGGTCACAGAAATTTTTTGGACATATATACTGTCATTCAAGGGAAAAAAATTAAATGGTATATTTAAGCAGGAGGTACCTGAGACTAGCTTTTTGACTTGAATGGTTCTCTGGAATTTAATCCTAATAGAAACTTCATGGTCAAGCTAAGCCAAGTTTATCTCCAAGCTTCAGAGAAACTTTACTTTAACTACACTTGATTTTATTTTACTTATTCAGTGTTTTTTTTTTGCCTCCTTTCTTCCAAATGGGAAAAATTCTTTGAAGAAAAAGAATGACCTGGATTTTCTGTTTTATCTCATTTTGATAGGGTTTAATGAAACTTTAACCACATTAAAATTTTGCATATTCATTACAATTATTTCTATGCATACCAAATAATCTATAAGTGTTGTCCTAATGTTAGCTTTCTCCATTCAGAAGTTCTGCCTAAAAATAATTGAAGATGTTTGTTTGAAATAGAATTTGATGAAATTAATTCCTAAAACTGCAAATATTGATTTACAATGCTATTATGCTTACAAATAAGTACTGGATATTACTTACCTCATCTTGAAAGGAAGCATACAATATTTCTGTATCTGTGAATTCTGTAAATTTTCTTAACGCTGCCATATTGCACAGACAGCAGTTATCTCCCATGACACATTCTTCTTCAGCAGCCTTTGTACAACAAGCACAGCACCTAGAAATTTCAACAAAGAATGTAACCATCTCTACAGAATAAATGATATGAAATACTGTAGTATCTATAAATGTTCATGGTTATATATAAACTGGACCATAGTATTGATAACGTTATATGCGTCCTTTTTAACATTTTCATTTAAATGCCAACAAGAACACAAAGAGTTAAAATACATTTTTAAAATAAATTCACACATTCTAGATTTAAATAGGAATTTAGGCCTACTCAATGAATACAGCTTCCAAACACTCTACAACATTAATTGTGAAAAACAACTAACCCAAGGTTATTAGATTTCATCAGTAAAATAACATGAAAAAAAACATTTTTCACAAAAAAATCCAACTTCATTTTATTTCTCATTGAGAAAAGACAAAGGTGTGTCTGAAAATTCTGTTATTTAACATCTTTTCTTATGATTCTATTCGGTCTAAAGAACTACTAATATACAATCCTTCAATTGTAATTTGGAATTACAACTGAGAAGACAGAATACATATCAAAAATGCTACTTGGTTTCAATAAGAAAACAAAAGATAAAAGTGTCTAACAGAAGTTTTAGTGAAATGGAAAAAATCTTTTCATTTGTACCAACTTACTTCTTAAAATAATGACCAGCATTCATAATATGTTCATTATTGCTATATTTTGTTAAAGTTGTTAAGCTCAAATATTTAGCGATGTAATAGGGGAATTTCTATGAATATTTTATTGCTGTAGAACTCACCATCAGTTTATTCAATCATTAACTTAAGAATTGAGATTCATCAGAATATTAAAATAGGAAAACTAAAATTACTACTAAATGCAGGCTTCTGCCTATAAAATGGGAATGAGAAAGTGTTTTGCAGTCATTTCTAAATGATTGAAACCAACATAAAAAAAATAATTAATGAAAATTTTCTTATGTCACAAAAGCAAACAACTTAATACATTGTTATTTTTGTGTAATTATTAGATTGCACATCTTGTAATTCTGCTTGTCCCTCTCTTATTTCCTTTGTTAGCACGTATGTTAAACCCTGCCAATACCTCATTAATAATGGACTATTCCATTTTAATCATAAGGAAAGACAGAAAAAAATATATCAGAGATGCTGTTTGGTTTCTGTGAGAAAAACAAAGAAAGAAAGAAGAGGCAATAATGTGCTTTTTCTGTTTTGGTGAAATGTAAAAATTATCAAATTTAAATCTTTTCATTTGTCTCCCCTTTACTTCTTTAAATAGTGATCAGCATTCAGATTTATGGTCATTATTGCAATATTTTGTTAAAGTTGTTAAGCTCAAATATTTAACGATGTGACAGAGGAATTTCTATGGATATTTTATTAATATAGAACTTACCATAATCTTATTCAATCTTTAATTCAGATTAATCAGAAATTTAAAATAGGAAAACAGTGAAATTTTCATGGGGTTAAAAACTAGTAAATATTGTTTTTTTATCTCAAATTTATATATATATATATATATATATATATATATATATATATATATATATATATATATATATATATATATACATGACAGAGAGAGACCTTAAATAATGAGGCACTTATTTCCTTAATATTATAACCCCAGATTTGATACAAATTTATTGAGTTTAGCTTTGTTTAGGCAAGGCTATAAATGTTAAGTACTCAGTAAGGACCAAACTCTTTTAACATTTAGCAATTGTTGGTGACTATTTTCACCAAGCAAAATGTTAGTCCTGCCAAAGTTAAATTTGAATTTCTTGTTTGTGTAGTCATATCCTTCTATGGCAACACCTAAAATAATCTTGAATGGAATTGAGAACTAGGCTACTGCAATTTCAAATATATAGAACGAATATATAAAACGCTATATTTTGATTGGATTCCATATACAGGAAGTAATATTTATAAATGATGCAGAGTGCTAATTAGTAATGACTGGAAGCACTAGCTTGCTAGCCATTGTTCCTATGATGCACATATGTTAGACCTGGACACTCCCAGTTGAGTGTAGAACAGGTGTTGCTGCTGTGCTTTCCACAATAAGTAGATTTTTCTCAAGCGGAGTTCCTAGCCCCATACCCAATTGGTTTTGAATTCAGAGTTGTCCTGCTCCTAGACTGGTTGATAACCAAAGCTAGGGAGCGCAGAATAGAATATTTACATGTGGACTAATATCCTCATCTTTGTTGTGATCATCATTCCTTCCAGCATTCATCAGGTGCTTGTTGACCTGGGTAACCTTCAGGAAATTTCAAAGTGAGTGATTTGTTTGTTCGTTTGTTTTTTTATGGCTTATCAACCCATTGTGGGTTATTTAAAACTGAAACATATTTCAGATTATAGAAGGTTGCTTACAGTACCCAGTGTTCCCAAGCAGTCCTCCATCTAAATAATGATCAGGCTTGATGTGGCTTAACTTCAGTGATCGAACAAGAACTGGCGTTTTCAACATGATTTAACTATAGACATCTCAAAGTATCCTTTATTTAATCTACTGAGTAAATTGGTCTCATTCTGCTGACCATGTCTAGAAATATCTTGTCTAGTTCTTATTTTTATTATTGCTCAGTTACTGATTACCCCATTTCCACCGAGTCAAAGTTTACATGTCAATAATATAAATAAGAATACAACAATATCTAATATTTTAAGAGTTACAGGGTATTAAAGCAAATAGAAAACTTAAGAGATTTTTATGGATTAACTGTTAACAGTATGGAGAAGGGAATTAGCAAGAGTTTTATGCTCCGTTCAAACTAATGCCATTGAGAAAGGAATAAATCCAACTCTTCTATAAGTGAAAGCACAGGGCAGACTGAGCTATCTAAGATGAAGGACATGTTTGAATTCATAATCAGAAAAGGCAACAGGAAATCCTCTCCACTATTTCCCCAAGAATAGCCAGGGCAATGTAGTTTACAGATATTAAGAAAAGGAAGCTGTGGAGAGTCACAATCGCCTATATAATGACAGGAAATTATATTTGAGAAGAATAAACTTAAAAGGTTATGGCAATATTTAATACAGAGTTATTTTTTTATTACTAAAGAATCAATTAAATGAAGCTTCTGGTGAGAAAGAAAGAAATATGCAATAAGAGAAAAAGTACTATCCACTTCCTGTGACACGAGTTGAATGAACAACTTAAGAAATCCATATTATTGAAGAAAGTCATTTTTAGGATAATCATTGAAGATTACAAAAGATAAAGACAGATGAACAATTCAATTCTTAAGAGAATAATGAAGGAAAAATTAGACAATTAGAGCAGAAGGAAGAGAAAGAAATCAGCCAATAACTTAAAGAGTTTAAGGAAGTGCTTTCTGCATGAACGACCAAGAAAAAAACTAGACTTAAATTTAGAGCAGCTGTTTTCATTCTGTTAAGCAATAAAAACATAAAAGAAAGAACAAAGGGATCGGATAAAATTTATATTTTCTCTCAACAAATGTTTACTCCAAAATATTTTAAATCATTTATTAGTAATTTTTTAAATATAATTTATAAAATTTTCCAAAGTATTTTGCAGTTTTAAAATTTTGGGCATTTTACAACTTTTTTTTTTTTGATTTTTTTTAAAATTTTCAAATATACTAGATATTTATATTTATTGTCACTTAAGAGGGTGTATTAATAAGTTTACTGCTAGACAATCAAATTTATTAACTGAATTTTGATCTAAAATTGTTATTGTATAGTGTTTTATATACATGTGCACAAGGGTAGGCTGAAAAGTGCATAGACTAACCAAGATACTCTCATTGCATGGGAGCAAATGAGATTTGTTTTTCAACTTAATCCCCCTTGCAGTTCACAGATTTCTTTTATCAGTGTTGCAGTACTTGGATCCCATTGGTGAAAAAGCTTTTCTCCTTGTGTACTAGAGAATTGTCCTAATGAAACAAGACCCCGTTTAGTAATTTTCCCAGGTGTTTGGTCCTGATAGCCTTTTTTAACTACCTCAGCAAGTTGACATATTACTCTCCATTGATGATGTGGCTCTACAGATGAAATGACCTTGGCCTTTTTTGGGGGGGTCTTTCCATTGCATGAATTGTCTCTGGCTCAAAGTGATGAATGAACCCAACACTCATCTTGGGTTAAGAAATGTTGAAAGAAACCAACTGGGTCTATCTCAAACAATGTCAGATTTTCCCAGTATGTAATCAGCCTGGTGCACATTTGATCACGTATCACAAGATTTAGCATCCACTGAGCAGAAACTTTTGTCATCACAAGTTAATTGTGCAGAACATACTAAACTCTCATGAGATATGCTAATATCATTGGTTACTTGATTTATAGTCAACCACTGTTATCTATTACCATGTGGTGAACACAAGGTTTTCACCAGTGATGGTACTTGCAGGGCACCCAGAATTCAGCTGCTCACTTTTGCACTGCGGATAAAGCTGGAGTGTCATCTTCTAATGTAATGCAGCCATGTCGGCCTGAATATCCATGGGGGATAAACCCTTTTTCTGCACATACTTGATATACCATGATACCAAATTTTGTCCATTTTCAAAAGAAATCACTACTAGTTACTTTTGAAGTCTTCTTTGAACAGTCAGATGTTAATTTACTTGTAGTCAAGTAAGGCTACTTCTAAGATTTTATATATATATATATATATATATATATATATATATATATATATATATATATATATAGATAGAGAGAGAGAGAGAGAGAATTAATGTGGAGAAACTTGTCACTTAACTGAGTGGTGTTATTTCAGTCATGCCAACGTTGAAGTCTTGTGACCGCATTATTGTATTACAATAATGCACTCATGACACTGAAATATTACTTAGCTAAGTGACAAGTTTTTCCACATTAATTCTATTAATGCTCTATAATTACCTTTTGATATTGAGCATGTTAAGACAAAAACTTGCCTACCTAAAATACCTTTCCACCAATAAACTATGAAAAAAGAACCAGCAATTTTGGCACCTAACACTCTCACAAATTATATATATATATATATATATATATATAAAATGAAAAGTTTTCAGTGCTACTCACTTCCAAGAACCTGACCAAACAAAACACCAGATTTGGTTGGGTGATTTTTTTTTTTTTTTTGTGTGTATAGGATTTCTTGATTAGGCCAAGTACTTTACAATGCCACTCTTTTATATAAAAGCATTTCAATTATTTTGAGAAAAGTAATTATCATTCAGTTTGGACCCCGGATTTAGTTCTTTATGGTTTTCTTGTTACATTTCAGCCTATGATTCTACCTTCTTCATGTGTACACTTTCTAAGGTAAGAAAAGGTATTTTAGGGGTTTTTTTTTCTAGTGACAAATATCAACAAGTTCATCTCATTCCCAGCAAAACCAGGAACACAGGCAATTCTTTTCTCAACAATCCATGTAACAAAGAAGATTCCAGGGTTTTTTCTTTTAATATGTGAAGATACTTTCAAACTCTTTCCTTTTTTTTTTTTTTAAATATTCAGTGATGTTCCCTATCCATTATTTGGACCACCAAAACAAAAAAAAAACATGGGAACCCTTCTTTTTCCAGACTTCTATTTCACTTTTCAATATTACTATCACATACTCAGAGAGTGACTTTCAGAAGATGGTTGGTTCCACTAATATTCTTTTCCATATTTACAGAAGCAATAATAAACAATAAAAATAGTTGTGCAAGCAAACCAAATCCAATCTATAGCCCTTGATATATTTAAAAATAAACATTTAGTATTTATTTAAAGTCAATTCAATTTTAAGACCATGAAGTTTAGACAAAATAAAACATACAATTGAACAAGTAAGAGAATAATGAAAGAAAAATAAAACCAATTAAAATAGAAAGAAAAAAAAAAAAAAGTGTTATTCTTTCTGCATAAATGTCCAGAAAAATAGTTATTTCCATCTACAGCCCCCATCTACAATACTTGAGATATATATTAAATAAATATCTATATTTAATGTATTCAATTGGACAAAATTTACTGTAAATTTTAAATCGACTTTCTCTTTTGGAAAAAGTTCCAATATGCAAAAAATTATCAAATTGGTTCCTTACTTTAATTATATATATATATATATATATATATATATATATATATATATATATATATATATATGTGTGTGTGTGTGTGATTCATTGATTTTTATGGCTGAGAGGCCAACAGTTCAGATTCAAGCTAAACCACTAAACTACTTACATAAATGATTTAATTATGTTGACGAAGGGTTGTGTAGAAACACTGGCTTTTTTTCAGCAGAAATGATAACAGAACATGTGTATCATGAAATCTCCAAAAAGTCCTCCTCCGGTTTGAATTCAGAGTTTTTCTTTTCCTAGGCTAGTTATCAACCAAGAAAAGAGAGCCCAGTCTGTCCTGCTATTTAAGTTATATCTGGATGAAAATTGAGTAATGACTTTTCTAAGGGCATTCGTGTGAAGTGAACAAAACAAAATTGACTAGAATTTGAACTGGGTTCAATGATTTCACTTTCCAAGCTGTTATACTATCCACAAGCTATAAACAATTTATGTTAGCCTTCCTATTTTCAAAATCTGGGACCTGATATGGGGAGTGAAGTCTTAGCAGTGGAGTATCACTGAAAAGAATTACACAGAAAAACAGGCAAGCAAAATGTCCTCCTATATGGCAGTGAAAGCAGAACAATCTCCTCACAGATGAAGAGACTAGAAGCAACAAATGTGGTTCTAAAAAAGGATGCTGAGAATATCATGGCTGGGACATGTGAGTAAAATGGAAGTTTTTAAGGAAAATGAAAACAAAAAGAACATAATTAGTATCAGAAAAAGTTGAAATTTCTGGGACACATAATGAGGAAAGAGGGTATGGAATATTTGACACTCACAGGACATATTGAGGGCAAGAGGAACTGAGGAAAGCAGTGAATAACCTAATAAGCTTGTATAAATGGTTGGCAGAATGGGGATCAGAAGATATAGCATGCAACTCATATTGTAGCAAACTACCCACATTTCCTCGGTTCCATTGGTGAGAAGTAAATACCACTCAAATGGCTTCTTCCAGCAAACCACTGCTCTGTGGAATGAACTCCCAAGAGGATGTTTCCCCAATCACTACAATCTTAACCTATTCAAGTCTAGGGTTAACTTATCTTCCTCTCCTATCTGCATAAACTGCCTCTTAATATAATACTCTACCTTAATTGGCCCTGGCCAATTTGTAGAGTGAACCTTACTGAGAAAAAAAAAAATAGCAAAATGACAAACCTTACTAAGATCTACAAAAGACAAGAAGTTTTGGAGAGCTATGATTGCTAAATTCCTGAAGGGATACAGAACATAACAAAAGATATGTGCAACTTTTTACTAGCCATTTTTTTGTTCTTCACTTTTCCATATATTGGTAGTTCTGAATTATCATTTATCTAAAGATCGTGCAGCTGCAAGTCCCCAAGTCACAGAGTTTAAAAGATTAACACAACAGATTATCAGGCAATGAAAATACTATCAATATATTAATTGATTTTTGCTGCAGTTGTCAGGATCAAAGCAGTTGAGTTTAAGTAAGCATCATAATTAGAGTCGTTTCAACTTGAAAGCACATTGCAAATCAATGTGATTACTCATCTTTAGCATGGCTGCTCATTTTCCAAGTATGCCCATTTGCTGAGGCTAATTTGAGTTTCAACACTGATGTTAACTTGCAGTTTTTACTGCAATTATGCTGAATAGACACTGCTTACACTTCTAGTATGTGTCCCCACCAGGTCCATATACGGTTTTAAATTCAGAGTTGTCTTTTCTCCAATTTACCCTGCTATTTAACCCATAGCTGGTGGAAGACGAGATGAATGCATACTTTTACCCAAGGGTATTTGTGCAAAATTGAATTTAACAATGAAGACCATAATTTGAAATCTACTCCCAGATTTCTTGTTCCGAACCTATAACCATTACACCACCTGCATATCCAGTTTGAGCATAAAATTAGCAAATGCTGACATTGGCCAATTTTTATTCTTAATACTCACCTATAAGATGCACATAGTCGACATGAACCAGAACAGGTGTTCATAAACATATACAAGGGCCATCCATACATTGCCATGGCAAATTTCATGTAATACTTTATGGCACCCAAGTGCATCCAAGCTCTTGGCATCACAACAGATGAAGTCAGAGTATCTGAGCAATGACTTTGGTCATTTGCAGACCCAACATGTGAGGGACTGCTCTCATTACTGTCACTGGCATCCCCAGGGACTAGGATCCGGCCTGTCTCTCGGTTGACAGCTTCTCTGGACTTTCGGCCACGGGAAGGCTGACTTACAATGCTAGAGCTGGTCATCCTCCTCAGCATTTGTCGTCGTTGAACCAGCAACAAACCAGCTGCAATATCTGTAGGGACTAAGTCAAGGTTCTGAAAGAAAAAGGGAAGAAAAATATTTTCAGTGATATGGACTAAAATTATTTTGTCTTTACTCTAGACTCCTTGGTATTGGATTACACAACGAAGCAAAAAGTTTTGCACCAAATTCATGTGGAATTTCATTAAATAAAAATGACGTTTTAGTAAGATTTGAAATCTTACTAAAACGTCATTTTTATCCAGCAGTCTGTCATTGCACAATTCAACAAGTAATCCTAGAGCTATTAACTTTTCTGCAATTAGTAATTGGAACCTAGTTTTTGAAAGTCCAAAACCTGTTAAAAGTTTTTAGCAATTTATAATACTAAACTAGACTCTTCCTTTGGATCTCCCAGCTTAGCTCAGTGGTTCCCAAATGGTGGAGTGTGCATCATAGGTGTGACAGAAGAGGATAGCAGGTGAGGCGGAATGATTGAAAGACAATGAAAAATTTAGAAACAGTTTAAAAAAATTCATATGCCAAAAATAAATATGATTTCAAAATTTAAATATTATTATGATTACTTGTAATGGAATGCAGAAGTCCCAGTATAAATAGTTATAATTATTGACCGATTTTATCATTGTGATATTTTTGCATAATCTCAAGTACTGAGAATATAGTAACTAAGATCCTCAAATTGGAGGAGAGAGTTATCAGTGTTCAGACTTCAAATCCATGGTTATCTCCCTTTAACCCTCCCTCTGGACCTTCTTTGCCATAGGGCTGCTTGCACCTTTTCAGTTGTGGATTTTCAGTTCTGACAAATTTCAAAAACCATAAAAAAAATTTAAAAAAATTAAAAAAAAAAAAAAAATGGAAAAATGCTTCTTTGTCTTGATGAGGAGAAGAGTTTGTTCATCTCAAATTAGGCTTAATATAAAGGAGATTGCTTGTCAAAAACAAACACATACCTTTCATTAAATTTATGTACTTTAATCATATTATTTGTGTTATATTTAACACACAATTAATCATTGTTTTTTATCTTTAAATGTTCTTTTTATCACATAAAATTTGGTAAGGCATGAGCAAATTTTCATCCTGAAAATGTGGTTCAGAGAAAAAAGTTTGGGAACTACTGGCTCAGCTAAACCAAACCTTTTTGTTTAAGCATATGAAGAAAACATCTATCAGAAAAATCCCTAGCCAGAATCCAAAGATGTAACCTGTTTGCAATTTGTAGCATGAGCAATGGCTACCAGGGGGCCATAAACATTAAACTCTCAACATGTTATAAATCTTTACAATAAACATAGTTCTGTGTTTCATAGTTTATTTATAAGTGAAACAAACTTATGGTAAAAATTTGGGTCATTAAAATCTTTTTGCAAAATCCCCACCTCCAAGGTAATAAAAATATGATCCAAAAGTTCATAAAATATTAAATAAATCATGATCACAAGTTTAGTAAACCATTAGGATCATAGGTGTACCACATTTATTGCAGCCAACAGTAAAGTGTCTTGGGCAGGATAATATGAGAGAGCCTAAACCACTCCAGGATGGTTGGAATTCAGAGTTTTTCTTCTTTTAGACTAGTTGCCAACCAGGACCCAGTCTGTCCTGCTATTTACTTACATTTAGAAGAGATTGATTCATACCTTTCCCAAGAATATTTGCACATAAGTGAATGTAACAAACTTGACTGAAATTTGAACTCAGCTCTCAGATTTATCATTCTGAGTTGCTATTCATTACACCACCCACACATCCAATAAATACATAGTTCAAATCCATGATAACTTACTGGGACTAAAGGGCTGACAGACCTATAGGAACTAACTTAAAATTGTGCCTGTAGCATAGATTTTCAGCTAGTTCTAAACACTTGTGAAATTAAAACAATATAAGAGAAATCTAATGATAGTGACAATGTTCCATTGAAGAGAAAGAATATAGTTTCCAGTCAAAAAATTTTGAATTAGTTTAACAAGTAGAAAAATAAATTTGTAACAGCATTAATAACTCAGTTCAGTGAAGGCAATATTTAAAGTATAATGGTAAAAGTACTTTACACTGGAATAATCACTTCTCTTTATTTAGAAAAGGATATCTTCTTTCAATAGATATTTTGGTCATTAAAATCAAAGCAACTATTGTTAAAAAAAAGAAAAAATAGAAAAGTCAGACATATTAAAGTGGTTACAATATAACTAATAACATTAGTATTTTTAAATGTAATAGCTTACAAATTTCTTAAGCGAAACATTATCATTAATTTTTATTTTATTCTTTCTTTCATTTCTAATTGCAAGTTATTTCTTATTCATGATGTTTATTTTCACATTGTCCAAATCATTCTGTATTAACAAATTTTTGTTTTGTTAAAATTGTCTACTATTTCAATCAATAGCCACCAATTTTACAGCTACAGTTTATAGGAGACATAATCCACTTTCCTATAGGAATTCAAAATAAAAAATAGCATCCAAAGTACAATGTTTTTTTTCTCATAAAAGAAAACTTTGATTTTAAGTATTGATTTGACCATGATCCCTTATTTACATAAAATTTAAATAAATTGTATTATTTAATTTTAATTCACAGAGATGTTTGCATTAGACTTTGTACTAAATTATTCAAATTTAACTTTATTTCATTCAAAATCTAAATAGAATAATTTGAAAACATAGGCTGAGTATTTTATGCCATTTTTTCAATTGTTTGTATTTTTTTCTACAGCTTAACCCTGTTTAGCTTATTTAAAGCAGAAAGGATTATAAGAATAATTCTTTTGTCCTTTTTTTTTTTTTTTTTTTTTTTACATTAACAATTTTTTGATTTCTCCAGATACAAATTTTACTATTTAGCTCATCTCATAGCTGTGGGGGAGGAAATGGATTCATACCTTTCCCAAGAGAATTTGCAAATAAATGAATGTAACAAACTCGACTGGAATTCAAACTTGGTTCTCAGATTTCTCATTCCAAGCCACAATCCATTACACCACCTGCACATCCACTGCCATTCTTGCAAATCAACAAATATAAAAGAGTTATGCATTATTCTTCTGGATCAGAGTAAATAAATTAAATTAAAAAAGAAAAGTAGCAAAACGAAAAACATTTTTTTTAATATACTTTCTGATCTTGACTGATTAGATTAAAAACCAGAGTAGTAATAATTTGGTACAATAAACACAGAAAGAAAAGGCTTACCTGGAAGATCGATGCAAATAGTTTGGCTACATCACTCAAAGCTCGCCTGCTTTCAGCATTGTTAGGTGAACAGCAACACAATGTGTTACACCTGCAAATTAAAAATTTTAAGAAATATTTAAAAAAAAAAAAAAAAAAAAAAAAAATGAATTTGCACTCATTTTTTTTTTTTCTAATGCTTGTAAGGGGGAAAAAACGAAGTTCTGAAGCAAGGATTATAAATATGTTCAACATAAATCAACAAAATTACTTTTGTAAGATATTCTTTGTCCAAAATATCTTTTAAAAGAGAATAAGGGTGTTTTTTTTTTTTTTTTTTTTTAAATTTTCATGGTTTCTTAACCAATTTCTATATTCATATCTCAAATAATTAAGGTTTACTAGTTTTGTACTAATGGCAAAACCCAAATTTCCGTTCATATTATCCTATTACCAATCTTCCTGTCACTGTTATATCAGAAGAAACATTGAGAAATCAAACAATTCATTTTCTCCTTAGTTTCTACACAAAATTAATGAACTGTTTATATATATATATATATATATATATATATATAGAGAGATAATATTAGTGGAAAATATACATACATATGAAAAATATATCTAAAAAATTCCCATATTTCACTGATGGCTGACAAGGCACCGAGATTAAACATTTTATTAAATTTTTCTTGTAATCATACAAGTACTATCTAATAATTATATCAAACATATCACTACATTCTTAAAACTTACTTCACCTTTCTCAGATTACAGCTCCATTTGAACACATACAGAGAGCTACCAACATCTGTCCACAACATACTTGTGGAAAATATGACTATCAACATGCAAAAAAAAAGTTAAAATTAATGGAAGCATTAATAATAAAGAAGAAGCCAATTCTGAATAACATCAACTATGAACATGGTCACAACTTACTGACCATGTTTGAAAATTAAAAAACATTCCTATTCCTATATATTTCAGTCAAAAAATATCTTTAATAATGACTAATAGATTAGCTGCAAGCACTCGGATCCATTGAACATTTGGAGAATTTTTACACAGTGCCCAGAAAAGAAAATACTTGTATGAATGCAAGAAAACTTTAATAAAAAAAGCTTAAATTACAATGTCTTTTCAGTCATCTTCAATCAAACTTGTATAAAAGAGAGATTGCTACCCAAATACACATACACATTGTGTGTGTGTGTGTGTGTGTGTGTGTGTGAAGATTAACAATATTAAGCAAGACAACATTCAGTAGTTTAATAAAATCTAGCATAACCCCCATGTAGTTATGCAAACTGTCACTTCAATAAATATATATTTGACTTTGTTTGGTGACTGAGAGAGTTACATACTTTTAATCAGTGAGCACAGATAGAAAAAAAAAAATTTTTTAAATTAAAGCAATAAATTTCTTTTTCCAAAGCAAAAGAGAAAAAGAAAAAAAAAATCTTAAATAGTGAGGATATATTTTAACGTTTCATTTCTGAGATTAATAACTATCAATATTATTTTGAACTATTTTTCTCATTATGTTATTTTTTTTTTCTATCTGTGCTCACTGATTAAAAGTATGCAACTCTCTCAGTCACCAAACAAAGTCAAATACTCTGTCCACTGATTTAGCTGACATGTGATATTTATTGATTATAGCATTGTTTTGTTCCTTTGATGTCAGTTACTGTTCATCTCTATCTGATCCTGGGATTGAACTTATGATCACTAGATGACAGAATCACATGTATAACCAACACCTATATCCACTATGCCATCAAATTCTTATAGGAATTCATGTTTAGGAATTACTAAAATCAATGATAAAAAAACTTACCTTTTTTCCCAAACTTTCACAGAAAGGTGTCCACGAGAGCGAGTATGTCCCATGGGGTCGAAGAGAATCACAATTCCAACACTAATGATAACACAAAGACACCAGCCACATATAACAGCTCCCTTTACTGTCCATACTGCAAGAGTTTCACAGCCAGTGGATTTACCAAATGCCCAAAAGGAACCTATTAATTAGAAAAAATTAGAAAAAAATTTACAAATGTAATAGCATTATCATTATGTTGGCATTAACCATCTTGTTGAACTGGAATATTTTCTTGTGTTGGAGAGCAATATATAGTTATGTGATAGGTTGACGTGGAGATATTGTTGTGTTATATGTAATATAACATGTGGTTTGCTGGGGTCCAATGAGTCCAACAATGGAAAAAAAAAAAAAAAAAAAAAAAAAAAAAAAAGAGGCATTTTGTTGTCCTGTGGTAAAAAAATACACACACAAAAGAGTGAGAGAGAGAGAGAGAGAGAGGGTTTGTGTCCTTTTCTTTTATACTGTTTCATACAACACCACCCCACAATGTTAGAAGTCCCTTGGTATGCTGATGGAAGGCAGATAGGGATCTCTCAGATGATTAATGGAAAGAAGTTTGGTTTTTCAGGTGTTAAAATTGACAAGCCATCTTTTTTCTTATTTAATGACAGACTTGAGGTTGTTTTGGATATTAGCTGCCATTTTGTCCTTGTCAGACTGATCAGGCTTACTATTGAAGCAAAAGTAAATGGTTTTGTAGTCAGCGTAGATGCCAAGTTGGGAGCTGATGTCATTAGGAAGGTCATTAATGAAAATTAAAAATGGCGTAAGACCAAGGATGGAGCCCTGGGGGAGGGGGGGCCTACATTAGTACAAAAAGATCTAGACAAGTGGCCATTCAGGATAACTTTCATTTCACAATTTGAAAGGAAAGACTGGATCAGCTCAAAAATGAGTCTGGACACACTGTAACTTTTCCGCTTGTGGAGAAAATCTGTATGCTCGTCCCTGTTAAAGAGATGTCCAAATTTACAACTCAGGCTTCACCGTTTTTATAGAGCATGATAAACTCTTCCTGCAATTAGTGTCAGGACATCAGCAGTTGATTTGGAGAAACAAAAGCCATATTAAGAAAAGGCCTTGTGATGAGAGATTATGAAGCAATTCAGCATTGATTAGGGCCTCTAGGAGTTTCCCAAAAGGAAATAGAGAGCCAATAGTTAGAAGAGTTAGACGGTTCACCAAAGTTCCTAACAACTGGATCAGCAGATGATGACTTCCAGCAGGCAGGAAAGCAGAAGGCAACAATGAATTTATTATATAGTTTAGAGAGAACAGGAGCCAGTTTGGGAGCACACTTCTTAATGATTATTATGGAGATACCATCGGGTCTACATGCTTTATGGGGATTAAGGTTAGAGATGATAGCAGAAACCATGGATAGGATTATATACATATCACTCAACAGAGATTCAGTTCTAAGTGGAAAGTTAGGCAGAAACACTCCAAATGAGTCAAAAGTAGAGTTTAAAGAGAATTTATAGGTAAAACATTCAGCCTTAGCAGCAGAGGATGATAATACTTCAAATTGATTGAAGAGTGGGGAGGAATAGAGACCTTGCACTTATTTATTTAATACCCTATTACACAGCCACCAAGAGTCAAAGTTGCTAGAAAGGGACTTAGCTCCTTTGAGGATTCACTTACATTTATTACAAGCAATAGTGAATAAGCACCTGTTATGATGAGAGCTGTCACACTGGTAGAGCTGAAAATAGTGGTTCCTGTGGGCTATAGCAGCCAAACATGCTGTGTGAACCATGGAGAGAATTGAGGTTTCCCCTGGTATTTCTGAGAAAGAATGAAAGCATCCATACTGGCTTTGACCTAAAAAGAAACCACAGTGGCACTACTCTTAATTGGAAGGTTGAAGATGTCAGTCCATGGGGTGTCACAAAGAAAATCTCGGAGTGAGTCCTTATCAGTATGCTGGTAACAGAAAGAGGTCTTATGGATAGGTTATTTGCTTTTTTTTCAATGTTTGTTTTTAAATTAAGTTTTATTAATGTCAAGCTAACACTTATAATTGTTTTTTTTTTTTTTTGTTTTTTTTTTTACATGGTATAAATTTTGTCAGATATTTTTATGCTTTTTTGGCTGTGTTAGTTGGGGTTGTGTAATTTAATAAAGCTATTATCAGTTTAAATGGTAATTCAATCTACAAGATAATGTAATAATTGTGTAATCTGTGTAAGTTATTTGAATTTTTATAATTATTAGAAAAATATTCTGCAAATTATAAGTGACTAGCAGTAGAGCCCGACGTTGCCTGGGGATGTAACAGTAAGAGATAGATCAAGTATTGATCATCATAAAGACTGAAAAATAAAATTGACAAATATTATTGTTTAAGGTTGACGGACACACATGTCTTAATTAGTTTTTTTTTTTACGAATTGGGCAAACCCAAACAAAAACATTGTTTTCAATCATTATGAGTATTGATTGAATAGAATTTTATTATAAACAATTGTCTTGTAAATGGAATTTTTAAAGCATTCTGAATGTAAAAATAAAGAAAAAGTGTGCAAGACAATAAGAAACATTACCTGCCAAAAAAAAGAGAAGTCTTGTTGAAATTGGTTGAAAAATGTAGGAAATCCGATCCCATATATAAAGGAACACACACAAACAACCTGGGTTTTATAAGTATAACTCGATATGATTTGTCCCCCCTTTCATTCTGACGACAGAATCGTGTTTTATCGTGTTTTCAAATTGATTTCATGCAAAAACAATTGTGCTTTTCCAATTTTTGGTGCTGTCAGAACCACCGCAAGGTAATTTTACGCAGTCCTATGAAGTTTTGTTGAAATCGGTTGAAAAATGTAGGAAATCCAATCCAATATATAAACGTACAGACACACACACACACAATCTGTGTTTTATAATAAGCAAGATTTTTGTTATTAGTTGTTGAAACTTAATATGAAAAGCTTCTAAAACATGTAATTTCCTTATTTATTTTACTAAGAATTATCATATCTTCAAGGAGCTTATATTATTGTAATTTGTGTTTCTGTATAATGTGTTGCCATATTGTGTCTTGGATGGATATGACATGTGAGTCTCAAAGAAGGGTCATGGTTGTATATCCTATATATGTTTTTTATTATTTTCTTTTTTCACAGATGCAATCTCCAGTAACATAAATTAATTTGTAAAGGATATTTGTTGTGCATGGCAGATTTGATTGTATTGGTTTTATTATTGACCACTAAGTTTAAAATTTTTTATAGCAGACAATGACTCACAGATGTTTATTACTATCTATAGGATTTATGAATCTGTGGGTTATATTTTTTATTACTCTTTCATGTTTCAGTGCATCTGATTACAAGATTAACAGTAACATCCTCTGTTCAACACTATTATAAATGTTACTAATCTCCTTTAAAACTGTTCAATGATATAATTTTGAAAATCTCTATTGATGAGTACTTGATGTTAAATTGACAAACATGTCAGAAAATTGTTTTAGAAGATTAATTTAGCTCTATTGACTAAATTTTTTATAACAGCTTTTATATAAATTTCATTCACATTGATGAGAAAAGAGTTAGAACAAGAGTTTTTTTGTTTTTTAAAGAGACAATAAAAGTTACTTTTAGAATCATGTTTAACCGATTTGTTTTTTATGGCTTATTAACCTTTTGCAGGAAATATTTTTAGATTGTCAGAATTTTTTGAAGATAATAATCTTACTGATACAAGTCCTACTAATTAACCTATAGCTGGGAGGAGAAGAAGTGGATCCATACATTTCCCAATGGTATTTATGCATAAGTGAATATAATGAACCCAACTGAAATTGGAACTTGGATCTCCAATTTCCAATTCAAAGCCATTATCCACTGCACCATCTACACATCCAAACTTAAAGCACCTGGTATTCCCAAGTGGTCACCATCTAGGTACTGACCAAGCCTGATGTTGCTTAACCAATGATGATATGAGGCTGTACGCCCTTTTAGAATCAATAAGGACATCTAGGAAGGATTGTTTGTTTTTTATTAATATTTACTTCACATATAAATTTAAGAACATAATTCTGTTTAATATTTGTTTTAATACTATGTCTAAAATATAAATATGGTGAGATTAATATATGCAGTAAGTTTGAAAGCTATCACACAAGAGTAGGAAGCTATGAGATTATTGGATATAGAAGGGAGCTAGATTTTTAAATTTTAACATAACCAGGTAGATAACCAGGTTGACAGTCACAGATTATAATTGTTAATTTGTATTATCTTATCAGCAAATGTGCCCACAATAAGGCGGGGTATCAAAAGGAGGGTTTTTCCTGTGACACTGTTTTTAACTACCTCCACTCTCCAACAATGTTTATTGTTTAAAAAAGCAATGATTAGAATTGTAATAAAACCTAGACATATGGAAGTGAATTTATACATTTTTTTTTTTGTTCTCGAGAATTGACAAAAAAATAATAAACACTATTTATTTATTATATTATGCATTGGAATAGTTGGTAAAATATCAACTAATTACCAATCAATTCAAACTTTACAAAATGGTAAATAATAAAATCAACTGCCTTATGATCTCCAGGACTGTAAGGAAGGAACCTGCCAAGTTTGAAACATCAGAGACAAAATTTTATCTGGAGCATGCTAACTGAAGTTCACAAAATAGCTTCCACAAACAAATATCAAAGTTTAAAGCAAAACCTCATATTCATTGTGAATATAATAGAATAGAGAAGGTCAGTAACTGGAGTTTTACTGAATAAGCCAACAGGAGAGGCTCTGTTCATGCATGCACAATAAGGATTCCTCTGATTGGTTGCCAGGTTACACCAAGGAACCATAATCAGTTCTAGAGAGATTCAAAATGTTTAAATACTTTATGGACAGATTGTGTGTGTGTGTATATATTTTTAAAACAAATTTAAAGTGGGCAATGACCAACCACAAGTACCAGTTTCATACATTTTTACACAATCATCGGTAACTGTAGTGTGTGAAAATAGGAACCTTTACATCCCCAGGCAAGTCCAAGATTGTTAAATGTGTGTGCATGTATGTTGGCACAAGAGATACACATCTAAATAAAAATTAAAAAAGTAGGCCAATATTATACCGCACCCAATGTACTTGAGTTTGACAAAATTTGAAATAGTTACAGAGCTTGGATGAATTACAGTGAACTAAATATCCTTGTAACTTAAACCATGTAGTTTATAAACTGACTAATATACTTAAAATAATAACAATTTCATTATTATTTTTGTGAAGCCTTCTCACAGATTTTGTTCTCTCTCTCAAAAGTGACAAAAATTGGTAACCAGTTTCAAATACCCATGGTAGGTAGGTTGGTAAGTAAAAAACTATAATTTTGATAAATCTTTTGAGATATACAGTATAAAAGTTTATATTTTTTTTAAAGTATTATTTTTTCTTTTTATAAAAAGTTCTACATGTTACTGAAAGAGAGCAAGAAAATGTCAGTGTCATACAGTTGACATTAAAGTAACTATAAATATTTACTTAGTTTATTCATGTGGCATGATAATTGGCATATTAAAAATGTGGTATTATGTGACAATTTAAAGATGATAAAATGATTTAAGTCACTGTAAACATTAAACAGCACAAATTATATATATATATATATATATATATATACACACACATACACAGAGAGAGGGTGTAACAGTAAAATTGTCCAATTATTAGATTAAGCTTTGAACCGTTGTATCTTAGAAATGATTAGATATCTTACAGAAATTCTGAGGTTTTAACAACACTATTGGACTCTACTTTGAGCAATAAGAATATATAATTACTCACCAAGCTTAACAGAAGAATCATGATGAAATTGATCATAAATGAAAATGACATGTTCATCATTAAATATATATATATATATATATTCCAGGATAATTTTCTAAGTTATTGAAAATGATCTTCACCCTTTTAACCTTCTGTCCTGGAGTAACAAGATGCCTCACAAGTTTCACATACGATTTCATTTTCAAGTCATTTTTCACTGGTCTTTACACTGCCATAGGTGAAACTCCTCTCTCAAATATCTTATGCATTGAGTTGGATTTTTTCTAATTGATTTTTTGAGCTTTAAGTTGAAATGATTCCTCTTCCTGTTGTAACCTCCTGATCCAGCTTTCCTCTCTGCTGTTCCCTCTTTTTTAAACTTATTCACCATTCTCTTGATGCTTCTTGAATGGACTTTGAAGATGGAAGCCAGAGTATGAATGTTGGTACCATTACTGAATGATTTTTTTCCTCTCACCATTGCTCAGTTGAAAAGACAGTGAAGCTGACACTAAATAATTTTAACCTGTTCTCTTTCTAGCTGAATAACTCAAAGACTTTTTCAGTTATTCTTACAACAAATGCTACCAAGATGGCCAAACATCTTTATTATATATATATATATATATATATATATATATATATATATATATATATATATGTATTTGGGTAATAATTCCTCTTTTATACAAGTTTTGTTTAAAACAACTGACAAGAGACTGCAGTCAAGTATTTTATTTAATTTTTGTGTTCATACAATTTTCTTCTTTTCTGGATATAAATTATGTAGAAATTGTCTGCATGTCTGAGTGCTTTCAGCTATACTTTTAGTCATTATTATATAATATTATATAATATAATATAATATATTAGTATTATTATATAGCAAATGAATGAATATATTCAAGATAAGTATATTATTTGCTTCTTGACATGGGTGATTATGGCTCACCACAATCCCCTATCCCTTGTAGCCTTTAGCAATGTTCTGTTTTACCACCTGTTCACACAAGCTTGTCAGTTAGGTGGCCTGCTTCCTTACCTTCCCCTGTTCACAATATACCATGTGAGTTTGAAATTCTCCAAGCTCTTCCTCATTATATGCCCAATATATTTTGGCTGTTTCTTAGTGATTCTTAGTACAAGTTTTTTTTTGTTTCCATTTTGTTGCTTCTCACTATTCATGGAATTCTCAGCATCCTTCTGTAGAACCACATTTCTGCTACCTCTCATTTTCTCTTCATCTGTGAGAAGATTGTCCAGCATTCACTGCCATATTAGAAGCATAATATTATATAACATTTCAGATCTTTTCATTTCAAATTAAATTTTCCTGTTTCTTACTACTTGGCTTAGATTTTAGAATGCATCTTTCACTAATCCAATGTGTGTTCAGATTTCTGTGTCACATTTTCTATCCTCTGTTAAAACAGATATTTAAGCTTCTGTACTTGTTTGATGTTGACATCTCCATTTTGAAGATCCCATCTTGGCCTTTTGCTCTTGCCAACAACCATATTTTTTGTCTTACAGTTGATCATTTGTATGTAGAATCACTTTTATGATCAGCATTTTATTAGCATTACTGTACCCGAACCATTCAATATTACCACCTAGTCTGCCATGATGAGTAGCTAAAACTAAATTTTCATTATATTTTAATGACAACAATATTATTTTTTAAACAAAAGACTCCATAATTTTTGTACAAGGCATATTTTAGTGAAGTCAAATTAATATCCTTTTTTTCTTCTTTCTCTTCAAGATCATATTGTATCTTTTCTTTAGAAAAAATGTGTATGTACATGTATTTTACTTGTATTAAAGAATACCACATGCCTGTTAGTAGCATTTACAAGTACACAAATAAAAGGAGTCAATATCCTAATGATGAAAAAGCATTTATTTTACATACAAAATATTTATTTTTCAACATAATCCCCTTCCTAGCCAATACACTTAAACCAATGGTTTTCCACTAATTGCATATCAGACATGATACAGTGAATATTTTCTGATCAAAATTCAGACTACAGCCATGGATCCACTTTCATATCAGCACATGAGTAAATTAGGGATAAGATCAAAATTAAAAATTGATATTATAAACAAATTTACAAAGAATTAGTTCCACCAGTTCAGACCTTCACAGCTAGGATATGCCATGTCATGTTCATGGTAACAAATCATCCTCATTCCCTTGGTGTTCTTTTGGTAAGGATTAAGTTCCACTCAGAAAACTTCTTCCCCAGAACAGTTTTGGGAAACTCCTGAGAGGATGCTTCCCTGACAACTACAATCTTGGTCTCTTGAAGCCCAAAGTCAACTGATATCTATCCTACATATCCTCATAATGTGGACTTCTTAATGCCTCCTTGTCCCTCCCTCACAACATTCTCTCTCAGTAAGCCTTTACCACTAGTGGCCTTTGTATTGAGTGAACTAAAAAAATTATTGTCATAGTAAGAGCAACTAAAAGGACAATCTGTCTATATTTCTGAGATGAGGTATTGTAACTATTTACATTATTTATATTGTTCAAACTAGTATCCTCATCTTTATTGTCATATTCATGATGTTTTGGCCCTTGTATATTCCAGCCTTCTCCAGGTGATATATATTGGAATTTTAAACCAAACCCTTTATTTCATCCACTAGGGTAGATTGTTCTAGTTCCAGGTCTTTTCTTGATATCTCAGTTTCATATATTTCCCTTTAGTTAACTCAACTCTCCAAGTTTTTGTTCCCATCTGAAGAGGTCAAGTATTGAACTGACAGCTCTTTGAAACAAGTCACTGGATTACTTTAACCAATGCTAGATTGGCCCAGTGGATAAAATAAGGGGTTCAGTTCAAAATTTCAATGTATATCACCTGAAGAAGTCCAGAGCATACAATAGCCAAAACATTGTGAATATGAGAATAAAGATGAGGACAACAATCCAAACAATGTAAATAGTAAAAATAAAAGAATGAGTTTAATAATTCAAACAATTCTTGTAATGCTATGGACTTAAAATTACATGTTTCTGTTCAGACCATTTTGAAATGTCCAATTTACACAAATACAGACAACACATATTTTGACAGTACAGATTACTCACCAAGAATATTCCAGGTAAGTTCTGGCATTCCAAGAAGTACCTTCAGATAAAGAAGATAAGGCATTCTCCTCCTGGGGAATGTATTAGTAATGCTTCCTTTCATACTGACATGAATAATCATGATGCTGAGCAGGATGCTTAGAGACAAGAGTGTTAGGACACCAACATAATATGTCCATAATAAATGGCCACCATTACAGTTGAAAGCTTCTTTATGATGATGAAAAACAACTGCAATTACTGTTAACCTATAAGAGAGAAAAATAGAAAAAAAAGACAATAATGTTAAGAATTAAAAGCAAAATGTACCTTATTTACATCAAGCTAATTCAAGACTTAAAAATGTTAAAATTCAGAAGCAATTGTAAAATTCTGTTGCTAGTACCATATTTTCTTGTGTATAATACAACTTGAGTATAATATGAGCCAGTGTTTCTGAGGCAGAAAACAGAGAATAAATTAGATCCTCAAGTATATAATCCTGTAGTAAAACCATCCTGATATAATTTTTTTGAAAAGTTGTACCATATTATTCATTAATATCTCAATGTTGTCATTTTTCATGATATTAAAGACTAGAAACAAACCTGATGTTTAGCTATTGTGTTTCTTCTAATTTCAAAGCTTATTTTCCAAAAGGTGCTTTGTTGTAACAATGTTATGAAAACACATGACAGATCCGGGCATTTCCTTTATTAATTTTTAATCAATGTCAGTGAATTTTCCTGTCTTTGACAAAAGATGTTCAATTATGCTGATTCCCAAAGAACAAATATTGCCAACATATAAAATATTTTTGTAAATAATTGTTATCAATACCTGCCTACTTTGTGTTTTATTATCTATTGTGCTAATTGAGTGTATCTATCTCACAACTGTAAATATTTGCCCTTGGTTTTTACAGACAGACATGGCAAAGCTTAGGTATATTGGAAACTAAAGTCTCCCAAACAGAAAGGGGATATCTGTTAACATCAGTGAAATTCAATATCTATTTGCACCTTGTCATTTGACACACTCATTGAGAATAGTTGCCTCAATATCATGTGGCATAAACTTCTTAATCAACAGTCTTGTGTCATTGCATAGCTGATCCAAATCACACAGCAACATTCTTGGAGAAATGCTCTTTTAGCATTAGTCTGTGTAGCAGTAGACATCAAAGTTCCAAGGAATTTAGAGTTCTGCAGTATAAACTTGTTAATCCACAATGGTCAATGTTGATTTGTAGGTATCACTTTCTGAAAGTGACCACAAAAGCTATCAGCTGATGTTGTTGACTAATGTTTTTGTGTGTAAGTATTGCCATTAATTTTGCAGGTTAAAGAAAATCTTTGATATCAATTCATCTATTGTCCTGATCACTATTATTATAGAGACCAGATGGAAATGTAAACAATATTAGAAAGAAGATACAGTTAATATGTGATTGAATTGTTTTTGTCAATTATACATTCAAGATCAAAGTAAAAGAAGGTGAGTCAATGCTTTGAGTTTGAAAGATGTAGTAAGTGATTAAAACAGTTGAAGTAAAAACAAGAAAAGAATATAATACTGTTTATATATATATATATATATATATACACACACACACACACGGTAATTCCCGGGAAAGCAGATATTATCCCCAGTTCCCATTCTCATATCCTTTCTTCGGTTATCCAAAAGTAACAATTCAAAGTAAGTATCATTCAAAAGGGTTTTTGTATGTTCACAACTGCCATCCCTAGGATTTTTGGAGGAAATACCAATACATTATGAATACCAAAACTGTAAAGCAACTTATATAATAACAGGCAAATTGGTTATCCAAAAGTAACAATTCAAAGTAAGTAGCCTTGAAAAGGGTTTTTGTGCATTCACAGAGAATATAGTCCTTAGGAAGGCTAGTGTTAAAATAAATTTACAATAGATGTACAAATAGACTGACATATAGTTCCACAATAGACTTGCAAATAGATTTATATATAGATTTACTAATAGAATAACATAGATTAACAAAAGATTTACAACACTGACAGTTTAATGATAAGCACCTGATGATTGTGTTTCTTATCAAGTTTGCAGAGTATCTTGATAAACAGCATTTTTGTTTTGTTTTTTTGCATGGGGTATAGATAAACAAGTGATTAGGACTATCAACTCTTGAACATCCCACATAAAGTTGGCTATGAAAGAAAACCGGTTCTGCAAGGTTAAGGCCTACCACATCCAAGGACTGCCCTAGCTTTGTTAATGCCAATTGCAAAAATCAATTTCACTCGAAATTACAGCTGCTTGAACTGGAAAAGCATATCTGAGGGAAAAAGTGGAATCTTAGGAATAAACACAGTTTCTCCACTTGCTTTACCAATCAGAATTGTCATCTCCAAGACTGTTGGCATCATTTTCTTAACTGTAAGTTGTGTGCCATTGCAAAGCTTCAGTGAATCCAGGTTTCTTAGCAGCATGACTGGTTTACATATCTTGAGGTGTAGACGCCTGCTGGCATTAGGCAATTCAAAAATTCAACTGGATAATTCACAACTTCATCAGCATTTAGTACAGTGTCAATGGAGTTGTAGCTGTGATGCTCACCTGGCAATGATTCCAGAAGTTTGATGTTCAAATCATCAACTGTCACATTCTTTAGAGCTAAAATGGCATGGGTTCTAAGCCAGTTGTGGTCTGTAACCCAATTCCACCCTAGTCATTAGTTCCTCTAAATCAGATACCATATGTCCAAAAGGCAAACTGACTCAGCCATCCTGCTCGCCAACCAAAGTGCCATTACCAACATCCAATAGTTGCTTAGAAAAAGTACCAGCTTCCTCATTACCACTGAGCTGCACTCTCATGTCAGCTTTTTTCACACTGTTCCACAGGTAAGAAAAATTTATACTGGCATTTACCTCATCAGCTCATGTCGCATTTGGAATTACTGGAAGGGTATGTCTAAAGTCGTCTGCAAGCAAGACTGTTGCACCTCCCATGAGCCTCAAAGGAACACTTATGGCTAATTGTCGCCTCATTCCTGATGATCAATTTGCAATCACTGAGGAGTTTGCCTTTTATAGAACCATGACTAATTTTGCAGGTTACCTTCTTTCTTTCATTCTTGGACAGGTCCAAAGGGAGTTTGAAGCATGACTGCACAGCTACCACTTAGCAGGGTTGCAGCTTTCCCACATCCCTGCTAGAGCAATGTTTCATTTAGCGTAGTTTAGCCAGAATTAGGTTGATGATGATAAATGTCTTCCTAGTTTCACCTGAGGAATCAAGGAAGAATAGATCTCCTCTTTCACCTTCAATGATCAAAATAATCATGTTATAAGCACCCAGGTGATCTTCCATCAGTTTGTGTTCATTATCAGCTATATATGCTGTCATTTCCTCGGTGTCATAGCTGATCTCCTGCATGTACTTAACTGTGAGATTATTTGCTGCCTGCTCAGGTTGAGATAGGACAAATGTGTCAATTCCTAAGACTCCCATAGCTTGAACTCAGATGTCCAGGTCAACTTATGCCTTATTGTAAGTGACATCATTGAACGTGACAATTTCCACTGAGGTTTACCTTTGAATCCTTCATAGGATGTCTTCTACCATGCTCACCCAAGCCATCATGATTGAAAATAGTTGACACTTTTGACTTGGGACTGTTGACTGCTGCCTCCTCCAGTGTCTGGTCCCAGTGAGCATCATTCTTCAGTAGTCCATGTTTGGCGCAAGCTTCTCTGTAGGTCATACAGACTCCTCTATAATATCTTTGCAGGTCTGGCAATTTGCAGCAGCAGACACAGAAAGAAACACTCCTGCTAATTGTGGTGCACAGTGTATACCCGCCCAATGGCCCTACTTCTGAAGACAGCATTTTCTTCTCAGCTCTTAACTTGCTCCTTGTTTGTGCCTGCTCCATCTATTGTGTGAAAAGGTGTAGTAGACTGGAACCTCAATATACAGCAGTGTTCAGGCCAACAGGTCACTTTGACATAATTTGAAGAAAATTGTGAAAGTGGTTTCTGGTGTATTCTCAATTACATTTCAAGCAGTATCTTCTATGAAATATACATGCTGGCCATTTTCAAGATGAACAGCTAGATTCCCCACTGTTGGATGCTGCTCATGGATTTTGAAGCCCAGGATGCACCATATTGTCTCATTAGAGGAAATATATCTGCCCAACTAATGATTATATATATAGATTTCAGTATTGAAAAGTTTAAAAAACAATTCTTTATTAAATTTTTTATTTCAGTTTTTCTTTTTGTTGTGATTCAAATTTATATCATCTAATCAAACTGCTGTAATTAAAAGTAAAATTTATGGGGAAGGATACATGGCTCATGCCGACTAAGGATGTTTGGATTTTTTTTAAAGAAGGTTGTCTATTTCCACAGCTATATTTTTCTTCAAACAGGTTGTTATTCCAACCACAACATGCCTTTTTAAGGGTAGGTTAAAGTATGAGTTTAAGTAAAGTTTCTATTTGCAAATAAGCTCAATTTAAATGTTATTTTATGTTTAAATGACCGAATGGATCGAAACAATTTCTTTGTATTTAATAAAGTCAAACCTGTTGAATTTAATTATGTACATGTGTGAAATTTGAAACAAATTAATTTTATTGCAATCTAAACATACCACAGAGATTGGATTTAAAGAAAGATTATGCTGAATTAATGTGTTAAATAAAGATTTTATTTAAAAAATAATCTGTAATTCATTCAGATGTTGGCCCCTAAATTTTTAAAATCAAATGGAGATTCCTATCTGTCTGGAATTTTAAGCTTTATAAGAGTTATTATTTCATAACATGTGTAGCTTAATTTCATTAAAGTTTGCAAGACCAATTATCTCTTGCTTAAACACATGTAAACAGCATTTCGTGTAGACCAAGCAGTGAGCTGTGATCTAGGAGCCCTAGTGGTACCATTATAGATTTTTACAAAAAAACAATTAGCTGAGTAACAAATTGAATGTTAGTTTAAAATGTATGCAAAGTTTTCTCAATATTGGTTGACTGGTTTAGGCGACAACTTGATTCAAACAAACAGAGAAGAATTGCTATATATATATATATATATATATATATATATATATATATATATAAAATATATATATATATTATATGATTGGTCATTACAGCTGATGTAACAGCATTCCCCCACCACATCAAGGGCTGTTTGGTCAATTTGAACCTTTTAAAACTCTTTTTCTACATTCAACACCTTCACTTGATAAGACACCAGAAGTGTCGAAACAAAAT